ACTTATATATATATATATATATATATATGACTTTACTTTTTTGAAAAATATGATTTTTTATATATGTAGTATATTTTTTTTTAACTAACGGCAATATGAATATTATGTGCATGTAATTAAAGTTCAATGATTTATAAAATACTTTTAATATTTTGAAGTACTCTATTTTAATATCTATTTCATACTCCATACTTTATATGCAAGAAAAATATGTGTTGCCAAAATGCATATAAGATTGAAAAACTTCATACAAAAAATAACCACAAGTGATGTATATAGTGTGTATATGATTAGACTTCAATAGTTGAACAAATACAATTCATTTTGTGTATACAATGAGTATAAATTAAAAATTTAAAGGTATACCTAACATAGACATGAAATTGCAATCTTCGTATCAAAATCATACAAACTTATAACTAATATTTTGTGTATATAATTTGTATGTACAACGACTTTATAAAATAGAAACGAAGAACACATTTCAAAAAATCATAATTAATTTAAATCAATAACAAACACAGAAGGCATGTTTCATGTCAAATTCATTAAAAAAAATAAAAGTTATTTTGTGTATACAATGAGTATGAATCTAGAATTCCAAAGTACAATTAATATTAATGTAAAATAGCAATATTCATACCAAAATCGTTGTCACGATCAATAAATTGAAGTTATGAATAACCAAGACAAGTCAGCCTAAAACTCAACTATTACAATAAAATGGTGGAAATTTTACAATCAACTTAAAAATATCCCCAAAATCTGATTATCACGTGTAAAAACCTCTAAAAGTATTACAATTGAATCAAAAGAAAAATACAAATCTCATATGAACTTGTTTCTAGAGTATCACAAGATCATAAACAGGAGTAAGAATGTCTGCTGATATAACAAACACCTACATCACAAATCTTCAAGAAGTCTCGGGAAAAAAAGAGAGAATATATCATAAATGTCTGGGCTAGTAACCTACCAAAAAAATATAATACCAAGGGATTAGTACCAAACCACACAGTACTCAGCAAATAATCCTCTAAACACGAGTTAAAGGAACATAAAAGAGCTACTCCTTACCACCCTAACCGAACCTGCACAACTACAACTTGTATAAAACCAGTTCAACCTAATAATTCACACTTTACAAAGCACACAGCTCAACAACAACACTTTAACAATTTCATAGCCTCAACAACAACACTCTAACGATTGGATATCTTCAATAACAAGCTCAATATTCATCAGTCACAAGTTTCACAGAAAGGCACTCACAAGATCAGCAAAATAGAATATCAAGTTCAATAATGATAAATATATGCAATGCAATTGAATGCAATATCATGTATAGTGATACATGTCTGACCTAGTGATATACACCTATTGTCTCTCAGTCTGGGAGCTATGGGGGACATATTTGTCCATGCATCCATCGCGGTGTAAGAGACCTCGATAATAGTAATCATCGCAGCGTGCGATACGTCCCTCGAAATATAATATCCATCGTGACACGTGATACTTCCCTCGAAATGGTACATCCTCTTTAATTTGTTATTCTTTCTCAATGCACATAACACTTGTCACAACCATGTCTTAGAATAACGCAAATGACATGTTCACACAAACAATGAGCAGATGACTATTTTATAACAATTCACAATTCACAACAACACAATCAGGGTATAACATCAACAATGATTCAATAAGCTTTTCAAACCATTCTAAACAAGTCAACAAACAATTAATCACATTTCTTTTTCATTACCCTTTTTTCCATCGTTAGAATAATTCAACATGGACAAGTCAAACCATCACCAAGTTCCATTACTCCCCAACACATACCACAAGGAAATACACAAATTTATATACTTAACAAAGGTTTAGGAATCCACTTGCTTCAAATAATCAAACAATCACTCATGGACTTGAGCCTTCCTTTTTCGTTGTACTTCCAACTCAAAGCAATCTATTCACATTAATAATCACAATGAGATTTTGAAACTAACAAGAAAACTCACTGAAATTTATAATAAATTTTCTAAATCTTGATTCCAACCAACAGGTCAAATTTCATATTTCTTAAATTTCAAGTCTAAGATTAAGTCATAATTTCTCCAAACACTACAACCGTAATAATTTTCATATTATATAATACACACAATATATAATCATATATCTCAATATATCAATTTGGGTCTGTATAGGATAACTATAATAAAATTCCAACCCAACAACTGATTATGCTACCAGTAACCTTCGCAACGAGTCAATATCTAAAATAGACATATAGCATATAAAAATAAAATCATCAAGATTCATCATTATTAACTACAGGATACAATTTAATTTACAATTCTTTCTAACAGCAAACTTAGTCCCATATCCTTAAATAAATATATTATTATATTAATATAGATTCACTATACAATTTCATGCACACATCAAAGGAAATTGGATAGTTGGTATGTGTTTTTACCTGAAAGAACGTCGCTTGACTTCTTCTTCTTCTTTTTTTTTTCAGTTCATGCACAATTGCGCTAGCTTTTTGAGTTAGGACTCAAAAATATCCCACTTCTTTCTACTTAATTCAATTTTATATATGGGTCAAGTGATATAGGGTCTTAAAATTTTCAGCCTTAGCCCATTATTATTAACTAAATAAATTAATTATTGGGATTATGCATAAGTACCTTTTCAATCTATGCCCAAAATCTCAAAGACACACTTATACTATACTAAGGTCCTATTACCTCCCTAAACTTATTTTATTAATAGTTTTCTACCCCTTTTCGGCCTACGTTGAACTATCTTGTAGGCCCAACACTGGTTGACTTTTTTTTTTCAAGCTAGTGCCACGTAGGCCGAAAAGGGGTAGAAAATTACTTATAAAATAAGTTCAGGGGATAATAGGACCTTAGTATAGTATAAGTGTGTCTCTGAAATTTCGGGCATAAGTTGAAGGGGTAATTGTGCATTTTCCCTTAATTATTTATTAATTTCTGTCAATTAAATACCCGTAGTTATCAAATAGTTCACAAATTTTTGAACACACGCGACTGATAGAAATAACTGGAGACAACTATCGATTGGGGTAAAAATGGTAATTTTATAAAGATTTCTAAAGTGACCTCCGGGTCATTACATTATCCACCACTAAAAACCATGTTCGTTCTTAAACATAAAG